TCAAGGAATTCAGATTGAAGAGCAGCAAGGTTTTTGAGATGGAATGATCTTGGCTAATGTGTTATTTACCTGGGGATTGAATTTCTCAAGATGAAGCGATTTTTAGTTCACAGAAAAAATTTGCTATGGAGCTGCTTAAAGGTGTATGAACTTTAGCAAATGCAAACCAGTGAGTACACCTACAGCCGCATGGAATAAAATTTGACAAAAGGATGAATGGTTATCTCACTCTATAGATGCTTCAACTATAGGAGCCATGGTTGTTCTTTTGCTGATTTATCTGTGAACAAGACCCAGATATCATGTTGCAACAAATTTACTCGTTCGAGATTCATGAATTTCTCCAACAGAAAACCATCTATACAGCAGCCCCAAACGGTTTTTGAGATATTGTGCAAGGGACTGCTGAATTTGGTTTGTTTTATAGAAGATAAATGGTGTGAAGTTGTTGGGGTTCTCAGACAGTGATTGGGCTCAGACAGTGATTGGGCTGGGTCATTGGATGATATGAAGAGCACTACTGGTTTTGTTTTTCACTTGGTTCTGCTGTCATTTGCTGGGGAACAAGAAAGCAAGCTTCAGTCGCTCAATCAACTGCAGAGGCAGAGTATGTTGTAGCATCTGCTACTGTAAATCAAGCTATTTGGTTGAGAAAGGTGTTAGTGGATCTGAATTTTCAGCTAGAAAATCCAACTAAAATACTTTGTGACAATAAATCAGCTGTTGCTATGGTTAAGAATCCAATTTTCCATGGAAAAACCAAACATATAAAAATCAAGTACCATGCAATTCGTGAAGCTGAAAAGGAAAATGAAATTCAGATTGTTCATTGTAGTTCTGAAGACCAAACAGCAGATATTTTTTCTCACCAAGGCATTGGCAAAAACCAAGATGTTGAATTTCTTAGGAATGGACTTGGGTGTTTGTCTCAACTCTTGCACAAGGAGGGAGTCGTTAAAGTTACAGCTATAGCTCCATTGAAGAAATTTGATGCAGTGTTGTATAGTTTTGGAGTACTTTGTTAAAGTCATTTAAGATTTTGTTGTTAGTCAAGAAGTAGTTGAACTACCTTGCTTTTAGGTAGGTTTGGTGAACAACCTTCCTTGACTGTATTGGAAGTGGTAACAAACTTTAGACTAGCTCTACTATAAATGTTTACATTATGCTGTAATGGAACTACTATAAATGTTTACATTATGCTGTAATGGAAAATATAAGAAGTGAATATTTGTTTCTTCACACTTACAAAATCTGCAGCTTTTTTCATTTTCCGCAGAATTTCCTTCTCTTCCTTAATTTTCTGCTCTTCTAAACCAACACTTTTGTTTTTAAAGAACATAAATTAGGGTTTACAGTGATCACTAATACATTGATGTAGGGTTTACAGTTTGATCCGAAAACCATGTCTGATTTGCCATTTGCGTCGTCATTCTATCTCTCTTTATCTCAATCTTGCTTGCCTCTTTGCTTATAATAGACGAACTCTAAAAGGAAGTTAAAGCTTCAAGCTTTGAGCAGAGAGGCAAGAGATGTTGTACATAATCGGTCTGGGACTAGGGAATGAGAAGGACATCGCCATTAGATGCTTAGAAGCAGTAAAAAAAATGCGAGAAAGTTTACATGGCAGTGTACGCTTCTCTCCTCTCCTCTCCTTTGGCATCTTCGGAGATGGACTTTTTACTTTACTACTTGTTTACGAAAAGTATTTATTCTTAGTTTGGAGTAATTCAATTTCTCTGTCTCTGGTTTGAATCTAATCAAATGAATGTCCTTTTGTACAAAATCCATTATTAAAAATTAAAGCATAGGAAATGTGAACAGTTTCAGTATCCACTGAGACTGAACTCTAATGTTTGTCCTTTCTTTCTCACTTTTTATTATTTATTATATTCACTAACTTGTTGATTTGCAATAGACAGAATGACAAGTATGCAACAAGAACAAGAACAGTAAAATCTTTGTAAGTTCCCTTAACTTTCTCTTTCCCTGAAGGAGACATTCGAGTTCTTTTTCTACTCTTCTTATGACATTGACTCTCTTTTTTCTCTCTATATAAAGTTCACATCAAGACTCACTATATATTCACTCTCAATAAAAATCTCTTATTTTGGTTTCATGGAAAAGAAGTAGAAGGATCACAAAATTTCTTCAGCTAATAACCAAAAATCTGATTCAAATGACTTGCTGGTGTGAAACCTTCGATTTTCTTTCCTAATTTTCTCAAGCGGGTCTTTCTTTTTTCTTCTTTATTTTTATGTTTACGAGATCAAATCAAATTGTTGTTTCTTTGAAGTTTAAACCTTTATATACTTCTAACTAGTAGGGTGTGGGCCTTCATTATCCTCGATCTTTATTTATTTATCTTTTTTTATTGTATCCTTTTGCTTGTTTTCTATTGAAAGAGTTCACAGAATGTAATAGTAGAGTTTTATGTTTTATGTTATTAGATATGATAAATGGCTTCAACTAATTTATCTTAGTAATGCGTTTTAACTTAAATGGGAAAAATAAAAACATAATCGTTGTAAAAGAATTCCTTCCAATTTCTTGCTCAGATATCATAGGGTGTTTCTTTTGAAGAAAAAAAAAAAAAAAAAGAAATGCTACCATTTTAGTAGTTTGTAATTACATCTCTTGATAAAGAAAATGAAAATGATCTTCTAAATTTTAACCTAACTAGAAAGGCATTCAAAACCATGCCAAGATTTTTAAGTATATTGACCTCATTCTCCCATTCTTTCCAGGGAAAGAAAAAATAAGAAAATCCTATATCAAATTACAGTATACTGAAATGACATCCATGGGAAAGATAATTAAACCACAAAAGAGTGTGGTAATGCATATTGTACAGATTCAAACTCTGGTTGTTATTCTTGGAACAAAAAGAAGAGTGTATGCATTAGTATGAATTTCACCATATGATGCTGCAGTTACAAGAAGTAAGAAATATTAACTAGCATATTTCACAATCATAAAACTAAATTTAGATTTCTGAAAATGAAAAGCTTACCTAAAAAGCAAAGTGTATGCAATCCAAGTTCACGATTTATTCGCATCTTCTCATAAAAGCTATCAAGTCTCCATGTATCATTGAAAAAGGGTATTGAGACAACACAAATTCTAATTGCATTCATCACAGATGCATTATGTACTACTTTGACATTAACCCCCAATGTGTTTGCTCGAACAACAAGATCTGAATGTGTTTTAGCTCTTAATTCCAAATCAAATTATCCAAATAAGTAATGTATAAATTAGAGTATACCTAAAAACAATTTCAATAAAATTAAAGCATAAAATAAAAAACTTTACAGTACAACAACAAAATCCAAACCCAAGTAAAATTCAATAGATAGAATAACCAAAAGGATCTCCAACAAGAAGGAAAGCCACATCAGACACACGAGTCTCTCATAATATATCATCAGCCTTTTCTTCTACCATCTCTCTATCAGCAATGGTGATTCATTTCCCATACAAATTTTCCTACAAAGAAAATTAACATTTACGTATCTAAATGAAAAGACATGAAAAAATACATTAAAATTAGAAAAACGAGAGATTTAAATAAGTACGAGAGTAGAAAGTCCCATCTCCAGAGAAGTCGAAGGAGTGGAGAGAAGTGTAAGCTTCCATGTAAACTTTCTCGCACTTTTTTTTTTTTTTTAACTTTTTCTATTTTTTTTTTTTTTTAACTTTCTTCTAAGCCTTCTGATGGTAATATCTTCTCATCCCTTAATCCCAGACCGATTATTGTACAACAGCTCTTGCCTCTCTTGATAGTTCTTATTTTTATAGTTTTTTTCAATATACGTTTTTATTATGATTTTTTAATATTTTAATACGTTTAATTAGTTTTTGTTTAGATTTATTTATGTTTTTTAATTAAGTTTCCTTGATTCTTGACTTGAGTATTTTTAGAAAAATAGCCAAAATTTACATTAGATTGAACTGTTCTTGGTAGTACCTTGGATATAATCTTATTTGGTTCAACCTCCAACTATTACAACCTTCTGGCAATATACTTCCCCGGACTATATGGCCTCTTGGATATAACCTTAGGTGGCGCCTGGTTGCTCAGCCCCTTGCAATCAATCTCAAAGGGATAATCAGCCACCAACAAAACTTTACCAAAAGCACAATGGAAGCGTCAAGTTATAATTTTTGTTCTATAATCCATCTACTATTCTCTTAGATGTTATTTCTTATGGATATGAGCTTTTAGTAAATCATTTTCCTTTTGTTTGAGGATACGTGTCAGTAGAAAATGTTCATCTGTGAGGACTGCATTGGGGCAATTTGCAATCACTACAAAGGAAAATTAACTATTTTACTGATAAAAAAAATACAGTTCAAAAAAAATTTTTGTTGGAAATTTACCGAACCAAAAAAGTAACCCATTCAAAAAATACCGACTTTAAATTTTAATTTATGAAAAATAAAACTTTTTAAAAAAAAGATTTATGACAATTTTTGTAGGTATGATCTCTTCTCTTTTTT